AACCTCCCGTAATGCAGCCTCATTTCTCTGGGCCCTCACACACACACCTCAACAGGCACAAATGCATATGTAGGTCATGTGAAAGTATGATCGCATGGGCCACTATTCTAAAGCACGGCTTGTTTGGACATGTCTTTCAGTGGTGCTGTTCATTCAGCCTGCTTAGTTTTGTATGCTATTTTTCTAGCTGCGTGTGTGTTTCTGTGGGTCGTGCTGTTTATGTGTGTCCGTCAGCAGGTAGAGCTCCCCAGCCATGCTGCCTCCTCTGGGCACAATATATGCATGTCAACAGTCGGAGGACCACAGAGAGGGGTGTATTGTGAGGGCCGCATTTTGAGGGAGAGTAGAGTCGTTGTGGGTTTCAGGACCTCTGTTTATTGGTTTTTGAGTAAAATTGGTTGAGAGTGACCCTGGGTCAGAGTGCTGGCCTCTGCCAGGCTAGGTTAGGTTTGCCTGGCTTTGGGTCACACTGCTTCTTTGTACGTACTCCAAGTTCAGGCTTGTCCTGGGTGACGGCCAGCTGCAAAGAAATGTGACTTCTTGACCATATTTGTCTGCTTGGGTTTAATGCCCATTTCTTTCTGAGAGTGCTTGACCACTATGTAATCCCAGCATAATATCCCATTCACTATTGTGTTCATGCTTGACCTAATATATTATATAAAACAGGGTGCTTTTTGTATTGCATGTTATCTTTGGATAATATATCTCTTGCCAGTGCCAGACAGACTAAAGTCTAACATTAGTGACCTCATCTATTCTATGACCACTCTTACATCACACTTTTGGAGCCGCTCTGTCTCATACTGAGGTAGGTGTTCAGTTAACCAACTGATTACTTTATAACTTGATGTTCTTTCCTGGGTTGGCTGTATCAGTTGTTTTAACAAGAAAAGTCTCTTTGAAACCGCATGCAGACACTGTGCACAGTGTCTGACTCGTGCAAACGCAAACATACAGTGATACCTCAGCAGGGGTAGGGGTGTGTAAAAATTCAGCTGTAGATATGAGCAGGAAATTAGCTGCAGATGTGGGTGTAAAGTAATGCAGATGGAGACAGGGAAACCCTCTTACCATGACACTAAGTCCACCTTCTGTCTTTTGGTCTGGCAAGCCTGAAAGGGGATCGCTTTGAACCATGACACTGCTGTGTGGCTACAAATCACCAAATGATCTCATCCTCAAAACTCTCTTTCTGATGCAACATGTGATCGTATCTTTACGTTTTTGATTCCTCACAAACACATTTCCCTTTTTCTAGCTGCATAAAACTGTATTTGTAGACACTGAGCTGGTCTCCAATGTTAAAAGGTTAATGAGCTACAATCAGTGCTTCAAATTTGTGTTTAATTGATTAAAGCTGCTTTTACAATTTGTGACACCCTGGCGGGAGAGAAAAGAAGGTGAAGAAAGAAACTCCTGTTTGACGGTCTTTTGTTTGATGAAGCTTGTCTCAGCTCAGCACATACCAAACTCATTTGTCTGATTTCCTAGTCAGACTGGGAGGAGGAAAAGAAGCAGGAGGCAAAAGAGGTGTAGATTTTCATGAGGATTCCTTGGCTGCAGCGAAGCACTCCATTTATGGCTCTGATTAATTGCTTTTCATATAAATCATTGGTACAGGCCTGGGGCATTGCTCTCTACCTCGAGGTGTGTGAGACAGAAGTGTGCACAATTAAGGGAAGGAACAAGGTTAGTGAACTTTATTATGGACTCAGTGACTCTGACAGAAACACACAAATCTGTGTGCATGCAGTTGTGTGGCCTCAAAAGAGTGAGTGATGCTGTATCATTGAAGGGCTGGGGATGATGATAGTTCTGCAGAGTATTGTGTAATTGTATGTCAGGCCCTGTGGAGATATGTGTTTATTTAGTTTAGATGATTGAAGCTGCATAATAGTTTACACTGGGGCAGCTTGTTATTCAAATGAGGTTGAGTAATTGTCCTCTCCTGCTTGTTAAAGTTTGGGTTCACTGGGAATGCTGCGCTGTAGTAGATTGCTTTCGTATAAACAGTGACCTCTGCACATTCATTAACAAACACAGTGCAAAACAACAGATTAAAATGACTCGGAGCCTTTTCTCACTTGTACAGTTTACATTTTGTTGAGGTTCTCCCTCGTCGTCGTCACATTATTACTGGACGCACCTCTTAGTTTGTCCATTCATCTCCTTGTTTAGTTTTTGTTTTTCATCTTGATCTACCCATTTATATTTCTTTCCCTGACTTTCTGCTTCTCTCTGGCTTCAGACATTCTCTCTCAGAGCTGGGCCCCTCCATGCTGGCACCCAGACTGCTCCCCCCACCAGCCCCGCTGCAGTCAACGTCTCAAAACATTAAATACCATCCTTTTGCTTCATCTGCACCTAATTTTCTTTCGCCCCTCCCTTTCTCCCTCCTAGCGCCTCTCATTTTTCACACCTCAGATTGCAGCCAAGTCTGTCTGCTGAAGTTTCTATGCGTCCCCCCCCCCTCCCCTTCCTCACTATTTTTTTTTCTTCTCCCTGATCCCTCATCTCTCTGTTTCCAAATGAGCCTTTCAGAGATTGTCAGTCATCTGCATCACCTCATTTCTGCCTGGACATGCAAGCACGGAAAGGAGTGAAGGATGGAGGGATGGTGACAGATTGGTTTGTGTGGGAAGTTTTAAGCAGCTACAATGGAGGGAGCAGGCTCTGAAAAGAGGGTGACTTAACCTGAAAACATTTATTTTCGTCTGAAACGTCTTATTCAGGCCTACCTGGCAATTTGCCGAGCAAAAGTATATATATATATAATATATATATAATATATATATATATAATATATATATATATATATATATATATTATATATATAATATATATATATATAATATATATATACTATATATCCTTAAGTTTTTTGTAAAGTATCAACCTATATATATATATATATATATATATATATATATATATATATAATATATATATATATATACAGTCAAACCTTATCGCATGACTTTCTTGCCATTTACACTATCACTTCCTGTGGCCTCTTTAGGCCACTTAGTGAGCTAAGAGCCACTCAGGAGCATGGATTTGTTGTAGGCCATTTCACTTCCTGTTATTAGATTGGTGGTAACGCTCTCAAGAATCTACATAGCAGGGAGCCATTACTGGATACTGCAAGGGTATCTTTGCATTACATGGCCTTCTAGTCAACCTGGGAAGAGAGAAAATATGAGGGAGGATAATGAAAGTCAGTGGTGAACTCAGTATTCACATTCAGTTCAATTTATTAAAAAAAAGAAGAAAAGAAGCTGACAGATAGAAAAGCAAAGCCCAGTTTGCCATCACCTCGCTTCTTTATTATTTCTCTCCACCGTCCAGACCACTAATAGCTGTGTCCTTTCGTACTCTTCATCGTTTCTCCTTTTCAGGGGAAGAACTGAGGAATTGTCTTTGTGCCATGACCAGGCTCTGTGTCTCATTTTGCTCAGACAGTTCTCTCTTTTTTTAAGGTCTACAGCAAAGGCTGGATTTATCATTTACAATTATAAACACAAAAAGTAGACCTGTGTAAATCAAGTTCACTTTATTTCTATTGCAAAGACACACACTGACACACAAAAACAGTTGTTTCTGTTCCTTAAATATGAGCTTCTGGTTTCTGGGTGCAGAAGGCTTAAGTGGGGAAATATGTGCATATCGTTGTGTTTCCGCTGTTAGCCAGGTGTGTGTTCTGCACGTAGAGGTGTGTGTCAATGCGGTGTTGAAGGAGTCTATAGAGGTGTGGCAGAGTGTGAGAGCGTCAAGCTAGCTGTGCTGACAGTTGCAGGAGGCTGTAGGTTGTTGGGATGTGGCCGACGATTGCGTGCATCCACTGCAGCTCCGGATGCAGAGCATTCCACCTTCATCTGTCTGTTAGCAGGAGCACTTGGAGCAGGCTGAAGGCTTTTGCTTCATTGTGAATTCCTTTATTTTTTCCCCTCCTTACAACTTGGTTGGCTTTTGGAGTGATTGTATGATTTTAGAGATACATTTTTGCTATGGGATGGCCATAGACGAGGACCCCGCTTTAGTTGGAAAATACAACTGTCTTTGTTCTTCTGTTTTTCATTTTCAAAGCCATAAAACAAACTAGTTCTTTCACATAGCGTCCTATCTTGCATGTGAAAGCAGCCAGTGTATTTTTCATACATGTGCAATGCCAGATGGTTCGTGGTCAGTTTGTATAACAGTATGCTCCAGCGATGCTATTTCCTTTGTCTTACTTATCCTGATGTTTTGATGACAACAGTGTTTTTTAAATCATTTAGAACATTTTGACCTTCTTGTGTTTAAAAATTGCATTCCTGAAATCCTGGACTCTTTGTCCTACGGTTTAATGTCACATAAACTGTAAATATTGGTGTGGGTGTTGAGGCAATGCACCGGGCCTTTTGCAGGCCTTGTTTACAGATCTTTCTCTGCAGTTTGTATTTGTTTGGAGCCATGTGATGGAACACAGTTCCCTGATAATGGCGTCTCTTTCTGTTCATTCAACCCCTCGCTCATTTTTTCCCCCCTCTTTGCTTTGCAGCTGTTTTTGTTAAGCTTAGTTTTCTTTCCATCCAAAATGTTTGGTCAGATACAGACTCGTACCCATTTCACAAGCACACATTACAGTGCTGACGTGTTTACATTTCCTGCTAAACGTGCAGACAGTGTAACACTCATGACATGGAGACACACAGCTCAAACAAAGACCCTTAACAGAGAGGGGTTTGATCCAGGTCTCAACCCTCATCTTGACCCTGGGGTCAGTTTACAACTTGTCAAACCTTTTGATTCTAAAGGGTCACTAACACTAGAGTAGAAAGGCTTTTACCAGGCTTGCAGCATATTTGTAAGTATTTAGTTGATAAACGTTAGAAAATGGTTTTAAACAACAAAGAACCAAACTGATGTCCTCAAGTTAATCATTTACTACATAATGAATATATGGCAATTTAAACAGCAGTTTTAATGTTTTTTTTCTTTTCTCTTTCTTTTACCAGGGGCAGTACCGGCCTTCTGACCTCCTGTGCCCAGAAACCTATGTCTGGGTATCGATAGAGCGATGCATCCCCCTTCTTGACAACTCCCGCTACGCTCGTTTGAACCAGGATCCTGATTTAGGTACTACTGCACAAAACTACTGCTCGACTGATGGCATCACGTGGATTTAATGTATGAAACTACATCATTTTTTTTTAACATGCAATTCCATAAACACAGCACTGTAGAAAAGTCTTACGCCACCCAACATGACTTTATATCTTGCTTCCAAGTAGTCTTGAGCAATAGTTTTCTTTGGAAAATGGTTGCTTTTTTACTCATTTTCAGTCCAGTCCTTGTACTTGACCATTTTATTTATTTATTTATTTTGAACACTGACCTGTGAATCATTTAAACATAAAACAGGCTCCAGACACCTGAAACACAATCCTGGTCTTGTGTAGACAAATTGGCAAAGAAGACATTTTAAATTGTCCATTCAATTGTGGGGCGATCGTGGCTCAAGAGTTGGGAGTTCGCCTTGTAATCGGAAGGTTGCCGGTTCGAGCCCCGGCTTGGACAGTCTCGGTCGTTGTGTCCTTGGGCAAGACACTTCACCCGTTGCCTACTGGTGGTGGTCAGAGGGCCCGGTGGCGCCAGTGTCCGGCAGCCTCGCCTCTGTCAGTGCGCCCCAGGGTGGCTGTGGCTACAATGTAGCTTGCCATCACCAGTGTGTGAATGTGTGCGTGAATGGGTGGATGACTGGATATGTAAAGCGCTTTGGGGTCCTTAGGGACTAGTAAAGCGCTATATAAATACAGGCCATTTACCATTTACCATTCAGAAACTTTCTCACTAACAGCCTGCTGTAATTTGTTCCCATTTCTTTAATAATAATCTGTAAAAAATTCCTAACATATCATTGTTTGACAGGCTTAAAATAGTATTTTTGCACCAACACTGTGATGCCCTGTGTGTCCTTGAAAAATTTGAGGAAACTGGACAAGTAGAGACCAAAAAAAAAGTGTCAAACCTAAGAATCATATAAAGCAGAATCTGACAGTCATGTTCTTATAAAATATGGGGAAAAAAATCCAGCAAAGACCTGACGCAAGAGAAACACAGCGGTGTTGGAGATTTTTCTCAAAACTGATGGAATTATGGGCACAAAAAAGTACCAAAAGCCATCTGATTGGTAAGAGATTCAATTTTTTCCAGCATTACAATGATCCTAAACACACTGCCACTGCAGTAAAAGCATACCTGGAAATTAAAACAGAAAATTGAACATGAATTGGCCTCCCCAGGATTATTGAAAATTACTGAAACAGTAAAAACTGAATTCAATTTAATAGAATTTGTACAAATTAAAGAGGCCTTTGCAGATCCTACGGTTTTCTCATTCCTCATCATCATTTGGTGTGGCCAGAGCAGACTTGTATGCAGTGCATATATAAACCTATGTATACGTACCACTGATACACTCACTACATGATTGACTGTTTTGTTTTTTCCCCTCTTCGGTTTAATTTTAAAATGTTGGCATACTTAAAGCAGTTCCAAGAACATGACTGGTTGAAGGTACAGAGAGCCAGCCATGTCCTGTTTACTGTGGCCCATTAATCTGCATCACCAAACAGGCACCAGACAGAAAAGAGCCACCGATCAACAGTAATAGGAGATGTGAGCGGACGTGAATTTGATTGTCAGATAGATGGAGACTGATACATGGAGGGGAAAGAGAGTGAGTAATAGAAGAATAGATGGAGGGAGAGATGAGGGACATGTGATAAAAATGTTTTTACAACGAAGGCAATTGAAATGATGGTGGCTGTATGCTCGCACTCAGAGAGAGAAAAGTGTAATAAAATGGAAGATGGATTGATAGAGAGTTGGAATGAGAAGGAGCGGTATATGAATGTTAAACAACAGACGTGGGGGTTTGTTGTAGTGACCTCATACTTGGAGAAGAAAACCAACACAATTGATGAAGGAATCTCAGTCCGGATCAGATTGTGTGATGAGGAAAAGTTTCCAAGCAGATAGTTCACACTCTGTAAAGAAAGTTAATCGAAACACATTTCTTAAGGAAATGAGGATTTACTTGCTAGCGTTGGTCGTGCAGTTATATAGTGAAAACAACACGCTCGGGATAAATAAGAGTATTTAAATGTCAATTAAAATGTTAAATGACAATGTCTAGACAGGTCATTTATAACACTGCAATTAACATCTTAGCCAGCGGTTGATCTGACCTTTCGTTTTGTTCCCAGTAGTCGTCGGCCTTGCACAAATTACTGAGGACAAAATCAAGGTCTTGGCATTACCATTATTCACAGTGAGCAGTTTATGTTTGTGTGTCTGTGGTTCTTGTGGTGCCTGGATTCCTGAGTGGACTGTTGATCTTGGACAGGACTGGGCATTATTTCAGGCCTAGCTGTCCAAACGCAGTGTCATTACATTTCAGTGCTAGCTGTCTTGATGGTTCACTCTCAGGTCTGGTGCCAAGCTTTGTGACTGAACTGTAAAAAGCCAGACTAACAATAGTGTGGAGGGTGCTGTCCGCTTTAGAAATACATCCAAGTGGCGAATAAGTCAGCAGGTCAACCTATTTTGGCATTGTCACTTCAGCAGTATGTCACACAGTTGAGGTTTGTGGCCCAGTTCTTTGGCTAGTTCTTGTTGTGTGATTAGATTTTTGGACACAAATAAAGACATGCTGCAAATAGTTTCTAAGTGTTGGGAAAGTCTTCACTGTTCATTTAGGAATCTGCTGTGGCAATTTATGGCAGCTGCTGGGCCACAAAACTAAAATATTTGTGCGTATGTCAGTGATTGTGACATGTACTCTGCTCTGATTGATTCATCTGCTTTCACACAAAGCAAGACTGATTACCAAACTATGTTTGTCTAGCATGATGGTTGAGCAGTCAACTGTCAATAACAGGGTTCAGTGCACAGCCTCTTATTTATATACTGGGAATACTGAATTTATCAACACTGGTGTCACATTCTGCCAAAAATAAACATGTATAGTAATATAATTTCTCTGATCAATTCAAAGAAATTTGACTTTAGCCTATTCACATGGAGATCTGTTTGCCATTACAACTCACCTTCACTTTAGTTACAGTTAGTGTGGTTTAACAATGAGGTCAGTTCCTCTCGATGATGGCAAACTAACACCAACTAAGCACTAACTTGATGTTATTGCCCCAGCCATCTTTATTAAGGATCTGTTATGCTTTTTTTCCCAATGCCATTATATTATTCTCGGTCACTACTATACAGTAATCTTCTCTTTAAAGCAAACCCGCCTATAAGCCGCCTCTCCTGTGGTTGGTTGCTGCTTGGAGACAGAATGTTTGAACTGACATCACACGGAGACTTGAGTAGAAAAAACTAAAACAGAGTACGTGGAGCAATCAGCTCTTTCATCATAGGGACTGTTTGCATCACACATGCTGACCTCACTATTTTAAGCTTAACAGTATAAAGACAGAAATAAGGAAAATCGTAGTAAGTCTACTTTAAGAATGCGGTCAAAACATCCTGTCTGTAAATGGGAAGGTTAGGATAATCATGTATTACATTTACTATTAAACCAATAATAATAGTATTATAATAATAGTATACTATTATTATACTTATGAAGTGCTTTTTTTCTCTAACTGGGCGACCCGCTCTACCTCCTGAGCAACAGCCAACCAATACACAGACGTCCCAGGCATTTACTTTTTTAATTATTTTGATCTTTTTACTTATTTTATTATTACTATCATTATTATTAATACATTTGCTGTCCTATCACCACCACCATACTGCTACCCATAACTATTAGACAAACGACCGAATCCTGAATTATATAAACTGTTAATCAGGTATAGCTCTTTAAATCTTACTGATGAAGTTAAAGAAAGATTTAATTTTCTTTTTTAAATCATTTTTAAACATACATGAATTAAAATGGAATATTTGTGAAACAAGCATGGCAAATATTAAGATTATTTTCAGAAAAAAAAGTTAGAACAACAGATAGTAAAAATAATGTGTTGCTCGCTTGTTGAGAAGAATGTGCTGGTAGTTGGTTAAAATCATGTTGCTTGATTTATTTCCATACCTTTAAAGAGTCGGTGGAGAAGTCTAAAAATCAAGTCTCACCAAAATAATAATCATACTCAGTGTAACCTCTCTATATAGCTTGAAAGCCAGAACCTTAACCTCCGGCCCCCAGACAAAGGTCACTGTTAGTGTGCTGGATATGTGTTTAGACTGTAAAATGTGACCAGGTTACAGTGCTGTACTAATGAGGTGTGTAAAGACAGCTAATCTAAAGTTTACACAGCTCTCTTCACATCAGACTCACACTGATGCCTGTTGCTGACATCTTGAGGGCCCTGGGACCTGGGGCGGGTTGGCTCTTAAAATGTATGTACACACACACATACACAGAAGCTCACTGTGTGCAGCACATATCTGTGTCTCACACACTCATAATCCGTGTTTGCCTAACAGCGGGAGTAGTAGGGGCATTGGCCGCTAAGCAGTATAAATATTTGCCAAAATACGTGACCCAAGTAGTCACCCCTTGAACTGTAAGTGCGCCTGGCAGCCACTAACCCACATGCACAAAGTTACACATTGCATACACAAACCCAACGTTGTGATAAGTAAAGTGCCAGCTGGTATTTCACAATGTTCTGTTCTCTCTCTCTTTTTGTTTTTTTTTTTACCTTTCGTTACATCTCTGACGCACACATTCACAGCTTTGCATCAAACTGATAGTCTCTGTGCTTTCAGTGCAACGAAGTGAAGCTAAAACATTAGCTAGAGGCGTGCATTCTAGCCTGATGGTAGCCAGCCATTACCCCCAAGCCTCTTGTGATTTACATGATATTTCTAGCTTATGCCACACGTTCATATCTTGTCTCACTGTCATGGCCACTTTGCTCTGCTCTTAGGCAGGCTTTCTGCTCCTTAGCCTGACTAATGCACGTTTCCATTCAGGTTAAAGCCTTTTTTTCCCCAGCAATACAGGAATTTCTCTTCCCGGAAGTCCTTCTTTTGGTGCTTTAAAAGAATATTTAAGTCTTTTCATTAGTAATAATAATAATGGTAATATCCTTTATAATGGAAAGATATCCTATTGTTGCTTCGGTTCCTGCGATGGACAAAAATTCATGGTCACCGGCAGGGATTCAGGGTCAGCTGCTAACACAGGGGCTTGAACCCAGGTCTTACAGTCAAAGAGCAGTCTTCTCAGCACACTACAACACCCTTCTGGCCCTTTCCTTTTCAACCTTTAGATCTTCAACATTGGGTCAGAAGACGTGGTCATAACCTGATGGCCTGCCTTTGACCAGCATCCGGTGTTAAGCAAGTGTTTCGAAAGTTTGAGATGGATGGGAAGAGAGAGAAGCGTGGCGGGGTGTCAAGGCCCGTAGCCTCAGCCTTGACCCTCGCACTCCCTTATCCGACCCTCATCACTCCTCTTCCCCCTGACATTTGAACTCCAGCCCGAAGGAGCTGTGACCTCAGAGTGGCGTGTCACTGAACGTCCGGTTGGCCTGACAGGAACAGGGTCTGGAGCCACTCAGAGAGAAGAGACACTGATGCAGCCAAGAAGTGAGTGAAGAAGAAAAGGAAAGTTGTTTATGTGAGGAGCGGATGTTTGGATTGCCTTGAGTAAGAGAGAAAGATCTCTGCTCAGTATTACTGTTTCACTTAATAGGCCATCTTCAAGCTTCATGCTTCTCTCCATGTTTTCCTGTTTAATGTAAACTCGTCGGTATCTTCACGAGGCGACACTGTTGGACAAGTGTAACTTTGTAATAACTGCAGTGTAAGTGGACTGTCACCGTGATGAAGAACATGAGGAGGCAGCGCGTCGTGAATGGCCCGAAGGAAGCCGAAGAAGCATCAGATGTTTAAATCTTTTCACTTTGATTCCATTGGGACACAATAATCCTTCACGGCCCAAAATGTTGTTCGTGAGGAAGTTGCATAACATGTTTACATCTTTTTAAAATCAATTTTGCCACCCGCTGTGTTAAAACCTAGAGCTGGTATCCTTTATTTAAAAGTTAGTATCAGCCTTCCTTCAATTATGTGACTCAGCAGTTTCTTGAGAAGGGTGGAAAACACAGTAGTTGGGGCATTACTGAGCAGGGAAACGAGGCTAATAAATAAAACATGAATCAACTGTGTGGAAAATTCTAGCTGAAGTATGAGAATATCTAAATGGTGAAAAAGCCTCGGGGCTTTATGCTTCTAACAGCTCTCTTCTTTCCCTTGGCTTGTTTTTCAGGTAGTTTGTGTGCAAGTTAGATGCCAAAGTTGTAGATAGATTGACATTTGGATCTCTGTACGCCACCAAAATGGACTGAAGTTAGGCAGTTGAACTGAGAGGCACTTCAGTCAAGAAATGGTCCAAAATTCCTCCACATTGTTTTGGACGCTACTCGAGCAACTACAGGAAACATCTGATGGACGTAGTTGCTGTTAAGAGGTTCTACAAAATACAGAAACAATCTGGTAACTTAACATATTAATTTTACATTAATTATAAATAACAGGATTATATTTAATACTTGGATGCAATTCATTTGGTTCAGGTCTAGAAGATGGTCAAATGGACATCACTAAGTAGGCCTTTACTGCAGGTGCCTTCAGTTGATGCTTGTTTGCGCGTCTTACGGCAGGTTTTCTTTCCCCCGATGCCCTGTCCATGCAGCTTTGCATGGAAATACCCAGAAACTATTTTAAAGATCGTCAAACATTTTATTCTTATATAATGACGTGTCAAAATTCATTAAGGGTGCTAGGGAGGTCATCAGATGTCATCTTTATGGGTGAAAGAGTTCAGATTCAAAATTCTACAAATGTTCCATTTCTTTGCCTCGCTGTCGATTGATTGATTGAATGTGAGCATATGGTCTTCATGTTTTGTTTAATTTTATTTTTTCCTTAAACATTTTGGTTTTGCTGCACTGACCAGTAGATTCCTTCCTTTTTTATCTGGAATCCGCCAAATGGGTCTGTAGGCCCGTTTTGTTTTTCAGTCCTAATGAAGGCCTCCCTCACTCTACAAGTCATTAGACCACATGTTGAACATTAGCCAGAACAGCCACAGAATGCAAATCCACCACTTAGAAACAACTCTAGACAAATTATTACCTCGATTTGACCCGAAAGAAATAACAACAGTCCACACCTGGCCTTGAAACCGCTTATCAATGAATTGTCCGATTACTTACGAGCCTGTATAAACAGACGGAGAATTTAAACAAATGATTTTAATTCCTAAACAGTTAATGTGGTATTTTTTGCTACGTATTTGTGATTTTCACTTATTGTTTATCCATCTGAAGTTATGCAAATATTTAAAATGTCCCACTGGTGAGTCTTTTTGCTTGAATCTTAGACTTTTCCTTTGAATCTGCTCTGCCGATTAAGCCATCATCTGTCTTGGCAGCGGTTTAGGCCTGAAACATTGTAACAGATTACTGCAGCTGAGGCTGACTGGTATTGCTCTCAACAAGTCTATCATGTCTAAACGCATCCGAGGTCCAGTTACAGTGCTTTTTGAGTTTCCTTTTTTGTAAATGTAAGATTTCTTTTATAGAAAAGACTCACTTTGCATTTTTTTCTCCCTGTTGTTTTTCCAGTTGTTGATGTGATCAGGTTGTATTTGGCTGTATTGCAAATATTTTAGAAATTAGTCAGAGATATGTGCGCTCGCATCTTCTTCACCAGCTGCTCAGCTGTGAGCCACATGGATGATGTCAGTGGAGTGATTAATTGTGAAGCCCTTAGTTCTCTTAATACAACATCTACTTAGGCCTTTTTGACTGATGTGCCTGACAGGAGAGTGCGCTTCACTCTGCTACCTGCTCCAGAGTTGTTTTTTCTTTTTCCTTTTTTCTCTAGGTTTCCAGATCAGGATTGCTTCAAGCAGGACACTTTTAATGGATCAGTTGTTATATGCAGAGTATTCAGGGGAGATATGCATTACAGAAGACAAAATAAGCATTTTGCAATTGTTTAACTAGTAGACTACATGGTGTGATAATGGACTAAGAAGATAAATAAAAGCATTTAAGAGTCCTACTTGAATGACTGCAACATTTATTGGGTAGTTTCTGACACAAGAGACTTGTAGATGTTCCAGTGCATTTAAAAAAAAAATAGTCATTTTCTGACTGAAATGGGAAGTTTATGAGTGAGGCTGAGGTAGAGTCATACCTCTGTACAGTATATTTGGCTTTGCTTTGCTCAGTATGTACTCCCTGCTGTGCTTGGCTCAGTGTCTCACTCCTGGAGGCGGCAGGTTTAGTGTCAGAGTGAGGGTCAGTGTATTTCAACCCTTTTTTTCCACATCTGACTCTCCAGAGAATCATTCTTAGCTTCTGCACACATACACTTTAGAGATTAGTAGTGTTTTACTGGTCCATCAGAGCTGTAAAAACACTGCTGGCAGTGTATGACACAGGACCTAATGAGATGCTGAGTTTGGCAAGCCAGCAGGGAGCAAGGCCCTGTAAACAAGGCCTGCTAACTAGCCTGCTCACGCACCACTTTGACCCCAGGTTTAGGGCACAGAGGAATTAAAACTGAAGGAGGGGGGGAATGTTTTCTGCTCCTCCAACACTTTCTCGGAATAATGGTGAATTTCTGCCAAGACACTCAGAGGTTAACTCAAACGAGCGAGGGAAAATAAGGACATTGTTTATAGTGCTTGATGTGTCTACACTGGTCCTCATTATGTTCTCATATGTGCCTGTTTTCGTCTAGGAGATGCTCGGGCCGTGAGGGATTTGGGCAGAGCTCTGGTGCTATACAGACGGACTGTCATGCCCTATGCAGCCTACTCCCGCAAACGCAAGGGCTCCAGCGACGAGATGGAGGTGCAGCAGTACGCCAGCTTGGTTGGCCAGGACTGTGCTGAAAGGATTTTGCTTTATCGCTCGTAAACACAACACATCATATTACCTTTGAATAAACGTAAATACATACTCCCTCGTCTGTTTCTGTATGTCGCTGTTTATGAAAGTGCTTTCTGACGCCTATCCACGTAGTCTCACCGTGCTTACCCTCCTGTATATTCTGACCATGCAGCAGCCGATGGCAATCTACTGCATGTATGGCCTCATTCACTTATTCATTTATGAGTTCTATTTTTTTAATCTGTGAACACCACTGTTCTGGGTTCATTCTTTTTTGTGTGCACCATTTTGATTTACTACATGGACAAGTTCATTAAATGGATTTTTTTTGTAGGAAACTATTTGGAATATATTCAGTGTATTTGCAGTACAGCAGAGAACAGAAAAGAATGTGTTATTCTTTTATTTTCAAAAAACTTTTCCAAAATTTCAACAAAAAAATTCAAAAGTTCCTAATTTGCTGTAACTTTTTTAACAGTTTAATGCTGCATGTGGTCAATGAGAAGAAACTCAATTAGAAAATAGCAGCCAGCAGAGTAACTACAGCTACACTGCTGCCTTTCTCTCTTATGTCACCGTGGGACGCAACCATCTCGATTGATAAAACAAACTCAGTTTAAGCTCAACTTGTAATAAATTTGCTTTACATCTGCTATAGCTGAGGTACAGCAACTGGTGCAATACAAACACACACAAAAAAACAGGTCTAGACATAAACAGATGAGCCAAAGAAAAATTTATAGTGAACAGATTGACTAATGCAATCATATTCATGCACTCTTACGCCCCTATCACATATCCTCCCTTTGACTTTTTTTCTTTCTTTTTGGCACCTCTCTTAATTGTGTATGCTTCAGTGCTGATCTGAAAGAGTGTTTGACTGCACCCGGGTTCGTATCAACATCGCCAGTGACACTCACTAAGCATGCTTTTTTTTTTTTTTTGAATGCCTGGTGATTAAAACATTTTCTTTTATTATTATTGTTATTATTATTTGCATAAACTGCGTCCCAAAAAAATTCACCTCAGCATTGTAAAGATTTTATCACTTGAGTTCATGCTTGAGGTCAAGCAAACAAGACATTGTTTTCAATACTTTTGATTTTAAGTGTTGCTTTTCTTTTCCTTTGAATATTGACTGTTATTTTTGATGAAGTTGAATAAAGGAGTTACAGCCTCCCTGATTGGACTTGATGGCTTTTCTTTGCATGCAAATTATGCAACACAATGCCGATTCCACTGGCTGAGGGATTTTTGGAAACATGTCAGTAACGTGTTGAGTCGTTCAAGTCTCTTTCTAAACGGTGTTAATTTTCACACATACAGTAGTTCATGTGTGAGAGCTTATATCTCCTGAAAAGCACATGCATACCCAGAGATAAGCGCTTCAGTTGGACTTCAATTAGGCAAAGCAACAGGTGTTGGATACATGAGCTGGCAGAACGCAGATGTACATGGCTTCTTACCGCAAAAGGTTTTCGCAGCAGTTTGACTCGTGGCCTGACCTGATAGCAGCCAGGGATCTCGTCTCACAACAAAGCACGTGTTGTCGTCTGTGCTGTAAACACAGGAATCTTAACTTGATGCCATGGCACGACAGGTTTATGAATCTCACTTAGTTGGCAAGATCTGCTGAATGTAAGGCAGGAAAGTTGTGCAGTAAGAGAATCTGCAGATCTTCCTACAATCTTAATACAAGGCTTTAATGTGAGGATAACCAAGTAGTGTGTGTGCTACCCCCATAATCCAGATAGGTAACTATCCTCCTTGTTCTAGATACTCACCTAGAGTCACATAATCACTCAAATGAGTGAAACTTGTAACCTTAGCCCGTAAGTGTCAGCTTGACCCTGCCGTGGAGCTATGTGCACGATGCAGCTCTGCTCTCTGGTGTGGCCCGACACGGCCCACATTCAGCCAGCCCGCTTGTCTGCACCCAATCTTGAGAAAACGATGTAGAGAGTCAGTCTCTCCAGTTTAAACTCAGCCTGGGTTTAAGAGCAGCCTGTGTCCTAAGGAATTAAACCAGATTGACAGGCTAATTCTCCAAGAAGGGAACACTGACGCTGGCTAGTTGCCACTTTGGATTCAATGTTTCTCTCCCACATTAGGCATGCTCCCCCCCCACCCCCCTGACCTTAATGTGTGTGCACACAGGCAGACACACACGCACACACACTCTCTCTTGGCACTGTCATAAGTACTTAGTCTTGGTGGACGCCACACATAAGGACATGTGCCAGTGCTGTGGTGTACCTCTTTCTGTCAAAACAAGTGGCCTAGACCAGTTGGCTGTTTTATAATGAGCCCATAATACACAGTATGGCAGGGTTTGGAGTTTGTGCTAATATATAATTGTGTCACTGTTCATAATTCTTATTAAGCATGAGGTTTGTACTGACCACACTCTGCTGCTAAGAAACTGTTCAGCCAAAGGTCAGCATTCAAAGAATAAGGTCTGGAGAAAACGCTTTACCTTCATGTCAGGCCTGAGTCACAGTGATGGGTTAAAAACTCTATGGTTTATTTAAGACGCTGATGGTGCCAAATGGTTTTGGGTTTGTCATGCCGGAAAATACAGAGAGCTCCAAAAAAGTCCCAGAACGGAGAAAATGACCCTGAATTAAAGATAACATTTAAACTGGAAAAGGCCACAAGCCTGAAGAAAATGGAAGTGGATGTAGACTTCAAACATGAAACTGAGCAGAAATGTTGTAAACGGCAATTTCTGATTAATGAACCTATACATCACAAATCGTTTAAGACTTTTAAAGGAATAAAGTTTATTATCATACAGCAGTCTTTCAGCACCCATCACTCCCGTGTTCCAGCAGCAAATTATGACACCCTAATGGAAATTTTTCACATTAGAAGCTTGGCTGATTATGTTAGAACAGCACGAACATGGTCCAGATGACAACAACACAACTGTTGATGGTTGCACCACAGTGGGTTTGAAATTTAAGGCTTTCAGCTTTAATCTAAGGCCTTCAATCAAAGTAAGTTGTCAATGTTTTTATTCATAATCTCCCATTTTCTCAAATTGAATTGTCCAAGTAACTGACAGGCTGTTTCCCCATTCATTCATGACAGATTAACCAGATTAAAAAAAACTGGAGTTGATTCCGAGTGTTGAACTTGTATTTGGTAGCTGTTTACTGAAACTCTCAATATTATGTCCAAAGACATGTCTGTGTAAGTGAGGGAGACCATCTTTAACCCGAAGAACCAAATAAACTTAAAAAGAAGGAATGAACTGGTCAGCTCAGCAACTTCAAAAGGTGCGAAAGACCACAGAGGATGACTAAAGTGAACGATCACAGTTTCCATGGTTAACAAAAGCGCTTCATAACATCTTACCAAGTCAAGGAGGTCTCGAGGAAATAGGTACATCATCGTCACTGGTTACACTCGAAAGACACCTTCATCAGTGAAAGTACAACAAGCTGTACATTCAAGAACAAGAAGACTAGAGCAGACTTCCAGTAAACATCTAAAAGAGCCAGTACAGATGTGAAAAAGGGAGAAAGAATTATCTCGTGCCAGAATGATGGAAAAAGTGTGGAGGAGGAGAAAACTAGATTATAAGCCGAAGCACACCACATCATCTGTCAAACATGGTGCAGGAATTGATACAGCATGTATGGCTGCCAGTGGAACAAAGCTAATAGAGTTTACTAATGATTTGACTGATGATAGACGTAGCATAAGTACCATACTGCAAACCCAATACCTGCAATCAACCCCAAAGAGTAATGACATACAAAGCTGAAAACAGAAAACCCAGCAAACAAGCAGCACCTCCTCATGGGAGGAAACGGCACTTTGAGATCTCTTTTGGGTGCTAGACTTCACGAGGTCATTGACTGCAAAGAGTTTTCATCCAAGTGCTAGAAACAAACCTTACATGTAAAATTATGTTAGTTTCTCCAGTTATTTTGATCCCTGGAAAATTGGGGTGTACAATTCCTGAAGAGTTAATGTTAAATATTTGTTAACGAATTAAAGAGGAAAGAGCACTTCAGTCATATCTTGACTGTTTGATCTGAAATCCAATGAGGCGGTGTGAAGAGGCAAAACTGAAAAAATGGAAAGATTGTGCTGGTTTGTGGATGGAGCGGTCGTCACGGCTGTATGAAACATAGTTTTTCCTGCATTGAAATCTTCTTTTAAAAGGTAGTTAGCACTGTCGCTTCTCTTTTTTGAGACTTTAGACATTCAAATAGCGAAATGAATCCCTTTGCTATTCATTTGTTTGTTTTTATCTTTTTTTTGAATGATCGATTGGCCTTTTTAATGTAGAGTATACCAGCTACATGCCAACGTTGATAGTCCATGAACCTTTTAACTTGTGGATCCCTTCATTAATCGTTAATGCCATTTACATGTCTTTCAAAAACGTGGACATTTCAAAGTGACCGCAAACCTTCGAGCAGAAATGCCAAAGATGGAAACAACTGTAGCTGAAGTTGTGGGACCAGAATTAGTTGAAAGCTGTGCACCGTCCTTGCGTTATGAAAGCAGTGGCCATACTTTGTAAGTTTAAGCTCAAGTAAATCAGTATTAATTAGATGTTTTTTTTGGCGTCTTTTCCACAGGAAAACCATCCTACTTTTTTCCACTTGCCGCTATTGGCTGATGGTCCCTGGAGGTTTTGTGGTCAGATGAAAGAGGATGTGTCAGCGTGAAATGGTATGGGAAGGAAAAGCAAGTCTGAAAGTGTGGAGAAAAAAAAAAGAGAGAGCCAAAGCCTAACCTTTTCCCTTTTTTCCGAATGTCTATTCCAAAATTGCGTGAGGAATCATGTCAGAGAAAATGGAATAATATCCTTCAGCTGTTTACGTAAATGCCTCTCAGTGTTATTTGCTTTTGAGGTAAATAAGAGGGAAAATGTGTTTAGGAAAAGAACAGATTTGATCTTTTTTTAAGTGGCAGTCATAGAAATTGCGCCAGGGGATGGAGCAGGGGTGGATCTAAAAGGTAGGCATGGACTGACCCCCTTGAAATCTGAATTGATGTAAAGTAATTTGATGAGACACGTCCTCAGAATTCTTTACAGTCTAGCAAGTTGTTGTTATTTGGTTTTATTTTGTTGTTAAAAAAAAACAAAGCACTATAAACAATTTGAAGTTGCTATGGTAACTTGCCAGTTACTTGTCAAAATTACATTTCAGCACTTTATACTGACATTACTTTCTGTGGATACATGATCAGCCTTTATTACAGGATGCCAGCTTTTTTTGTCTATCTGTATGTTTCATCCAGAGGTTGATCATCTTCTGCCTTTGCAGTGCACTCAATCAAACTGCATCATGCGATTGTAGATCTTTAGGTTATGCATATCTACTCTTTACCTTAATATAATGTTTCTTGATACACCTTTTTGTATGTACTTTGACATCTAACTGTAACAAGTTGCCTAATGTCCTGACTAAGGCATCATGGAAGTTATCCACCCCCCCGAAAACCCCATTAAAAAAATTGCAGAAACGTTCCAGGGACGGAGATGAAGCATATCCCTCTTCCACCAGCATCTCCTGCATGTATGAGTAAACCAGGACTGTGTGTAGTATCTGAAACAGTTATTACATGACTGTTTTCCTGTTTATAAATTTGAGACTATCTGTAGGCAGCTAGCCGTTTGATCTCTCGCTCTTTTTGGTCCCTCGCTCATCTAATCTTTCTGCATTGCATGCAAGCTTTGTTTCGTTGTACCCGGGACAGAATGTAAACACCGCCTCTGCCCACAGTATGTAGCATGTGTGTGTGTGTGCTGTGTTTACTCCTGATGGTCCTTGTGTGTGTGGGCTGCTTGTTTAGATTGGCTCCCCCATTAGGACAGTGTGAATTTACATGTTACATGTTTTCATAGTCCAATCTGTCCATCATTTCATATGCTGTCTCTGTGTGTCTTTGCCTCTTGTGTTGTTCCATTGTAATGCAATCATGTATTATGAGAGCGTGTTTGTACTGGCACCCACGCTAGGCTCACCAGACCAGCGGAAGCTCCCAGCCCAGAGGAAGTCCAGGGCTTCTTTGTGAATGAGGCCCCCTCCCGGATTAAGCGTATCGCACCCTAAATGCAGGTCTTTTCTCCTGGGGATTATCTAAAGGCCTGGGGGGGCGCCCACTCCCACTGGGGCCCTGTCACCCAAATTCAACACACTGTCACCGGACCT